GAAGTTTTAACTACAAAAGGTACCTAACCCGACCTCCGCAATCTTACTATAATCGAGGTATGGCTATAATTGTCGATTCTGACGATGCGTGATTCAGGGAAATTTATTTTCAATTCAATTACAATTCAATACTCGTGTTACTCAAAGGGTTGAACAACAAGAGATCTGATGTTTTTGTAGTGCGTTGTCCGCAATGTTTCGCAACCGAAAAAAATTTCTGGCAAAATTTTTTCCACATTAGTTTGTCTGAAGCATATCTTTCCAGGTAACAAATGATGCAGTCCGATACTCTGAAAATAACTGAAAAATTCAATGCAGCTCGACTAAATTTCAATTCATTATATTGGTTTTTTCAATGCATCGCGCATCCTAGTTGATACCGATTATTAAGATAAATTTGTAACACTTGCTTGAAAATGGCTTCAAGTTTAAGATGAGGTTTTCAGCAGCTTTTGGTGATGAAATTGACGAGTTAATCTCAGTTTTAGTATTCTTGTTTTTTATGGTTACAAAAACGAGCAATAGCGAGCATAGTGTCATGATACGCAATCAGTTTTCTTGAACCCATCTCGCGATGAAACTGATCATTTTGTTAAACACTTTTGCTAACTTAGTCTTGGAAATGTGAAAGCATCTATCGCTGCTGTATTAACAGGAAGTTTTTGTATATTTTGAAGCTACTGGCGCAGATATCAGGACATGAGACTCCTGAACAATAGGTCGGAGGTACGATTCCGGCACAGCAAAAGTTTTTCAGGTTTTTTTTCAAGGTTTTGTTGGGTGGTAATGTTTGCATTTTGTCAATCGACCGTGGCGCTAGTGCGAGGACGTGAGACTCCAAATCTACAGGTCTGCCGTTCGGTGACGGCACTAAGTTAAAGTTTTGTTTTTCAATGCTTATTTGTTTCAATCTTTCCCTTTCTTATTTCTTTAAGAGCTTCTTTTTGCTCTTTTCTTGCTTGTCTCTTCGAAGTGCAGCTTCTCTTTGCGATATTTAGAGTTGAGATCAAATCGATAAGACTTGCTTGTTAGTAATCAGAACACGTTAAAGGTGACAATGCTAAAGAACAGTTACGTTTTCCCATGGCGGTTCATTTTAGACCTAATAAATTGGTCAGTGTGGGGGATCTTGTTAACTATTCCCCTCCCCCTATTTCGATTTTCAGAAATTCAACTTTGGCGGCCTCATTTTCAATAGCTTAAAACAATTTTCAGAAAATATATATATAAAAAAAAATTAAGTGGGTATTATATAAATAGTAAGTAATACAAATACGAACGCGCGAAAATGTAAACCCACTTAATTGTTGACATTTTTGCAATGCATATTTTATACAGAAACGGTTGTCAAAAATAACAAATGCATAGGGGGAAATAGTTGACAAGGTCCAAAAGGGGGGAGGGGAAATAGTTAACAAGATCCAGTGTGGGTTACAGTACAAACTGGTCATCAATATCTATTAAAATGTAAACTACTTGTATATTTTTTATCGATCTGTGTTGAATTACGTTGTTGCGATATTGCCTAGGAGGCACAAGCTTACCTACGAAACCAATTATTCGTATTAACAGGCGGCGTTAGGTTTTAAAAAGACCGATGACGTTCTTGTGTTATTGAGAACAAACGTATTTCGGTGTTTCAACTAGATATAAATAAAGGTTTCTGGAAAAACGATTGTCGTGTCTGAATCCTGGTTGTCACAGGCGAAAAAGGTCGTTAAAAAGTTGAAAATTATGAAAAGGAATTATTAGGATTTATTGATAGATAGCGATAGTTGTTATTTGGTTTGAAAAGGTTTCATAATGGTTATTATGCTTTCATAATAGTGAGCAGCAGAAGATAACGTCAAACTTTGGTGCCACAATTTTTTTAGTTTTTGCTTTTTAGTCTTCCAGTAGAATAACATTTTTCCGAAAAATTGGCTGGTTTTATAAAAAAAATTGTTTTGGTTTGGTTTTCTTGTTTTCATTGTCATTTTTGAAAATTTGATTTTGGTACATGAGTGATAGAGAGGTCCCAACAAACTAAACGGGTACCTAATGTAATCATAGTGCTCCAAAATTGTTCAATTTATTGATGATGTCAATTACAGTATCGCATAAGTTAGCGCAAATAAGGCTAGGTTAATTACATTTGAGAAAAAGCGTCGAAACGACAGCCGCGCATATTGATTTATTTGTTACTGTTTTTGCTCAAAATTAGTGTGATTTGGCACTCCCTTGTCACACTTAATTTTTTATTGGGACCCCTCTATCACAATTGCAGGTGTTAGGTAATTTAGCAGAACGATCTTTTAACAAACTCAAACAATTAACAAGTCAACATTGACTTCAAACGCGGTATTGGCTTTTAATCGGCACGAGTGTTATTGTGCGCATAAATATATGTTTGCCTCTAATTTTAACTAATCGGCTTTGGAGATGACAGTTTCAATGACATATCGTGAGATAAATGTGTTAATTAGGAAAGCTTGACAAAAGACTGAGCGTCTGATTACGTCTGTCAATCAATTGTGCGTCAATTTTTTTTACGTTGGTCTGCTGGAAGACTAATTTCTCACTTTCTATGCTAAATGAGTGGTCAGTAAAATGATCGGTCCTATCACTTGTGCCTTATTTTTTCGTGGTTGTACTTGCTTTCTTTTTGAATTCAAATGAATTGATTTTCTAAAAGGAAGCTTAAATATGTTCTCCAATTATGATTATGGAAATGGCGCGAAAAATTGTGTTTGACTTTGTTTCGATAATGGATTCCCACTTTTAGGTTATTCAGCGAAAAAAAACGGTTAAGTAGCATTATTTAGACATTTTAGTATCATATTCGTCAGTAAGCAGACAAATATTTTATTAACGAATCAGAAACGGGAAAAGGAAGAAATTAATAATTATGTATTTCGTAAGTTTGCTATTTCATCTCGATTCTTATTGGTTAATATAGTATTCGTCTGCTTACTGACGATTATGATACGCGCGTGTCTAAATACAGGCCGCAATCCAGTAAAGACATTTTTTATCCTGTTTTTTCAAATTGGTTAGTTTATTCAAAAAGGAGACTCATAAAACAGTCAATCATAAAGAATTATATATTTCTTGTTTGGAACTCGAATCTTGAAAAAAAGTCAGTCATTTGTTTGGTTTTCCTGGGCTTATTAACATTTTTTCAGTTGTCTGGCTAAATATGCTTTTTAGAGCTAAATATGTCAGGGGTGGATGGAGGGGTGACCCCCTCAGGGATTCGACCACCTCGCCAAACAAAGGGTCCCCCTTTGGTATTTTTATGACATCCATTTTCGGCCGACCAGACCCAAAGTTTTTTTAAAGGTGACCTTGGCGCCAATTTATACTAATTTTGAAGGGGAGCGCTTATTTTGGCCAAAGCTTTCGAAAAACGGCATTTTTTACGCTAGCGAGCAGCTAGTGTTTTAGTACGAACCTTCTTATTTTTCTAACATAACTCGCAAATAAAAGTGTTCACTTGTGTGCCTTTTTGCTGTAATCACGATCTGTAGCATTGGAAATTTCAAAGCATCTGTTTTCGGCTTTATTTGTGGTTAGTGTGATAGACAAAGCGTCCATAGCTGAGTGGTTAGTGCGTGAGACTCAAACTTTCTAGGTCGCGGTAGGTTCGAGCCCGAGACGTCACCGAATTGTTTCTAATTCGAGGCTTATTTTTACTTTTTCTTATTCCTTTTTTAGAACTCTAGAGCTGCATTTTGTCGTGTTCTCGCTAGTGTTCGCAAATGGCAGCTTTGCCTCTGTGTGACTTATTTTCTTTTCAAAAATTTGCCAGCGGTGCAACATTTTTTGGTCAAAATACGATCTTTTTAGTGTTCTTGGAGCGCTTGCAAAATCAATTTGGTCGACCTAAAAAAAAAAGGTCGACGAAATTTGCAAAAATTTTATTGAAAATCCGCAACCTCCCCCCTCGAGAAAATCCTAGATCTGCTCTGACATCTGTGGCAATTTTTCTTTCTACTTATGTAGGTTGTTGCAACTCATGCTTAGTGCAGCCGAATAGATCCGTTGAGCCATTTTTTACTATGTTTTTCAAGCTAGGCTGAATAACTTTGTTCAGTAGCTGCACTATTCATTTTGAATTGCGAAGACAGAAACAAATATAAGGTGCAGAATAATGTACCACTGGTTTGTCCTATTTTTCTTTAATTCATCACGTGGTGTGTGTATGAAGGTAGAGAATGAACTCAACCGCTGTGTGACCAGAATTGATTTCATTCTCTTTCCATTGCTGTTTCTGTTATTCCGTATTCTGTTTGACCTGCTTGATAGTAAATCCTCAGGCTTAAAATCTTTTTGTACATCTTTTGCAACAGAGATTATGGCAAATGCTTTGAAAACTAATTTGTGACCCTCTTTCGGTTATCGCTGTACATCGTGTTACCACCCATCAATCTTGCTTAAGTTGATTATTTTAATACGCAGATTATAGCTTGTTACTGGTTGACGAAGTTTATCCAGCAAGGGTGATCTATGTAAGTTTTGAGATAACCTAAAAATATAGAACCTTGTTCAACTCAAGAAAATATGTTCAAATGATTCATGATTTGCCTCTTTTTGATTAACTGTTTTACCTGTATCAATTAGCCCCAAAACCTAATTTGAATGTCATTCCGTGCAGAAATCTAGGTGAAAATGGCAAGAATATTAATCAAATCACGCGTGGAGTTAAGAAGGCCTCTGGCGATGATTTAATTGACCCAATATGAATTTAACTGTTTCGTTCTGAGGTTTAATAAACAAATGCCAGCGAGGAAGATTAGTTCTATAAACTCTAATTATTTCAAACTCTCGTACATTCGGAAAAACTTAGAACCTTAACTGAACGGATCGGACCTTTTGCAAATCGTCATCTGAAGTTGTAGACTGAACTACTGAACCAACTTGAAAAGTACTGCACAAATAATCTTCTGAAGTCGTATATTCTTCTGAACCGACTTCGATGTCTGAACTGGAAATAGATTCACCTCATCTGCAAGTTATAGTGAACGATACCCTCACATGGACCTCTGGGAGTTGGAATGTTGCTTGGAAAGTGGCGGTTGTGATTGCGAGTAGCTATTGGCACCTAACATTATTCACTGTATTCTCAAAACCCTCACAAAGATACCCCAACTCAGGTTAGATATTGTTTTATTTTGTGTTCCTCTGACGCACTCAACAAATATTGTGTAGCTAAAAGTTCGTGTAGCCTAAATTTAATCCTCTATTGTTACCCAAAAAATAGAAAACGCCAGATACTTCAGAAAATTTTTTCGGTCAAAAAATTAAATGTGGTCTGAACCTTCTGTGCTACTTGCCCAATAACCAGCTAGTTGTTTATATTCTCAAATAGGCTCAAAACACTACTAGCATTTGCAAAAAAAATAATATAGAAATTTTGTTAAAAATTGAATGATTGGTAGAATTTGAATCAATGTATTTAAACGCTGAGATTTTAAAACAGTTATTCAAACTATTCTATGATTCTAATTTCAAAATAACGATATTTTGTTATGCATTTTAGACATCCAGGTACAACGAGCCAACTACCAGGTGTCTCTGTGTCACTCGATCATCACTGCTCTCCTTGCTCTGTATCTAGAGGCCACTGAGTTCATCCACTTGGACCTGTTTGACTTTTTCAACCACCCTTCCAGTTTCAAGTTCAATTTTATCTCTTGTTTCCTCCTCGGATATACTATATACGACTTACATGTTGTCACATTCTACAAGAAAACACGAAGTTTTTTGTACGTATGTCATCATTTGGCAACGATTGTCGGAGTGTCCATGGGAATTGCGGGTCATTTCCCGGCACTCATCACTTTGTTTTATGTTGGGTATTTGCCAGTGGTGTTTGTAAATGTCCAGATGCTGGCTGACTTCGCAGGATGGACCATGGCGGTGTCAGTGTTGAAGCCAGTTTCGTTTCTGGCCTGGATGATATTCAGACTAGGTGTGATTCCGTATGTGCTCCAAAAGACCTTTTCATATCACAAGCTGTACCCAAATCCTGATCCAGTAAGTAATTATAATAATCAATTTAGTGGTTCGCGAGGAATATTTTAGTTCGAACAAAGTTGCGATAGAGCACAAAACCTGATAAAACCAACTATAAGAGAGGGATCCCGCATTGCACTTTCGAGGGATCCCGCAGCATTAACAAATACAGCACCTAAGCACCGCATCCTATCTTGAGTGAAGCTTAACTAGTTCTTGTTTCATTAATATCGAAAAACTTTTTATTGAATAAAATTAGAAATACAATGAGAATCTGCATTTTACGGCATGGACCCCGGAAAACTATGGATCCCTGTAAAAATTACCAGTCGAACTTTTGTATGCCATTCGTACGAATCGAGCGAGTTTTGTATTGGTGAAACTTCTTTTTTGAAAATCAGTGCTACAATTATTTTGTTATGTTTTTTAATAGTGTCTGAATCTTGTTTTGTTTCAGGTGAAATTTGGAGTGCTATTTTTCTTATTCTGCTGTTTCTCTCTGATGAATATTCACTGGGCCAAGAAACTGCTCACTGGAAGTTTCAGCACCAACAAGAAACGTCTGAAAACAAGCTAATCCTACTGGACTATCAATGCCAATTTCATATGAACTACAATTTTTCAATCGCTTGACTACATGATAGCTTAGATAAGGTTTTTTATAAGTGGTTTTTAGCGAAAGATATTTTTTTACTTCCGAGTCTTAATTGAAAAGCTTACAAGGATTAGTATACTAATGTTAACCATTATATCCGCAGAGAGGAATTTAAGATGCATGGATGTGATTGAATTGCTTCAAAACTAAAACCTCGAATCAGCCTAATTTTTTAAATAGTTTTTGACAGGAAATATTCATCGACTTGTTTCCGAGAAAACCATGTCAGGTAATGGTCTGAAGTTGAATTGAATGGAAATGAATCATTCCTGCTTTTTCAGCCAGTTTATTTTTAGCTGAAATGACGTATTTGATTGTTCGCCCTTAGGTTCTTAAATTTCTTTTATTTATTTAACTTATTTAGTTCGTGTGGCTCTCGTTTTTTAAGGAAAAAGTCTTCACAAGATGAATTTTTCTAAACACAAGATGCATCTCTTGAGCGCAAGCCGACATTCTGTCAGAAAAGCGTAATAAAATAGCGAAGATGTAGTTTATTAATATTAGTGTTTTGTATTTACACATTGGTAATAATACATTTTTTTATTCAGTATCACATCATCCCAAATTTTAGCGTTACTTCTTCATTTTTTGAGTTCAGATAAGCAAGGGGATTGCAATCGGGTGCTAGACTTTTTTTTCCCGGAAACAACTATTTTCACAGATTTCAGCATGCATGCAGCACACGAAATGCATGCAGTATGTGCGTCTATTTGCAGCGACGTATTTCAAAATTTGGTCTATTACTCACACTCTGCATCCTTATTAGTGCTTCATATTTTAAAAATATTTCTTTGTTTTTTTTTTGAGTTTTCGACTTTGTCGCTTTTGCTTTTGTTGTTTGTCGGCTTAGTTATCGCTTTGTTTTCACAATCCAACTACATTGCTCATTTGATTGTTATTTATGGAGGTTAGAAGGCTAAATAACTTTTGAACTTAAAGTTGTAATTTTTAATTTTTTTGATCAATTTTTTGACCAAATTTATCTTTTCAATAAACTGATTTCTTTTCACTTTCGTTTCTTTTTCAATAAGGTGCTCGCCGAAATTTTCTGATAGAAAAAAAACAAATAAAAATTTTTCTGTTATAAATTTTTTACGCTAGTTTCTGTTATAAATTTAACAACTAGTTTAACAAAATCAGTTGAATCACTTGTTCATGTTCAATTAATACTGACTTTATGGCAGATTTGGATGATGCTAGGATATCATTCCTAAGGTGCCATACAGGCAATTTTGTTGATGCTAGAGGACCTTAAACTTATAGCAGTTTTTTTTACATAATTAGTTTTTTTTTCGGCTGAACTGGTGTCTGCTCAAAGATCATCGGCCTTGTTTCCGCTTCGTAAATTTTGTTCAATTATTTATTTGAATTTCAAACGTCTTGCTTGGTTTGTTTGCCTGAAATTTCTGTTTGGTAAAAACAGTTATTATGAAAATGTATGGGATTGAGTTTTTTATTTTGTTTTTTTTTTGAGAGGATTTGGAAAATTTTTACTCTTTTTTGCAAAAAAATAATTTTGTTTCTAAAAACCTTCTACCGATTTTCAAAAATGTAGTATCTATAGCAAGATCTTCTACACGCTTGTGGGTCTTCATTTTCCCCTGGTTTCTTTTTGTTTTACCCTTTTTGTTTCAGCCTTCGAAAAAGTTTGGAGGAATATTTACCAATATTTTTGATTTTTCTTTCGTTTTCTCAAAAAATAACCTACCAAAAACAAAATTTTGTTTTATTTGATTTTTTTAGAAAGCTCACCTCTTTGAGCGGCTACGCCTTAATTTATTTTTTTACACCTAAAGTTATGGCCCTCGGAATGGTGAAATTTTAGAATCTTTTCGACTTTTCTCGAAACCTAGCCTCCCAAACCTGAGGTTTTGTGTTCAATGGAGATAACGGGTAGTAGGAAGCTCCCCTGCATTAACGGCCCTTCATCATTTGTTCTACACTAAAATTTATCGTCCTCGGAAAAGTCATTTTTTGATTTTTTAAGCTTTTTTTCTAAATTTTAACGGAAAATTGCCTGCCATATCTGAAATTTTAGATTCAAGCCAAAGAACGGGTTGCGGAAAGCTGCGTTGCTCATGCGACTACGGCCAAATTTTTTGACAACAATTATGGCATTCGGAAAAGCCAAAAGTGCGTTTTTTGAACGTTTTTTGAAAACCTGGGTTTTTGGGTTCAATCGAGGTAACAGGTTATGTGAATTTTTTCTGCATCAGTGGCTCTGCCCAATTTTTTCTAGAGAAAAACCATGATTCTCGGAAAATTTAACTTTCTGATTCGTGTGACCTTTCTTTGAACTTTTCTCGATAACTATCATGCGAAAGCTCGCTTTTATAGTTTGCTCGCCCAGTTGCTTCAAGGAAAAGGTTTTGGCCTTCAAACGAAGGAAAGTTTTAACTTTTTTAAGGTATTTTTTTAGTTTAATTGAATAATATCATGCCAATTCTCAAATTAGGTGTTTAATCGAGAAACCCGACGAAAATGCGTGGAGCTTGTCTTAGTTTTGTTTAGTTTGATGTTTTTTTTCAGGTTCATAAAATTCCACTTGACGTCGATTTATTAGTGTATTGTTTTTCTATGTCAAATTTTTTCTAAAACAATTTCAATTATTTCGAAAAAATCAACACGTTTCCAGGATGATTTTTTTTTGCATTTGTAAACGATTTTTTTGTGTTCAAAGAATGTGACGAGCGTCATACGATTTTCAAGAGTTTGGTTCTTTGCGGCTGAGATTTTTTATTTCATAAACGGGCGTTTTTTGTTGCAATTGTTCTTATCGCTTTGTCATTTTTGTCAAATTTGATGTCTTTTGGATGTTTTTATAGGTTTATGAAGTTTTCATATGTTTTCTGCAGGTTTCATATGGTTTATTGTGACATTTTTTAAACTTTACCAGTCAATTTGTTGGAAATTTTAGTTTTTCAATTTCGTTTCATTTTAATTCTTGTTTATAGCAAGCACCGGATAGGGTTTTTTCTTGCCATCAAATTTGCCTGTAGGACTTGCAGGTTGTTTGGCTGTTTTTTATAGTTGTTTGATTTTATGCAAAGTTTTTGAATTCCAATAGGAATTTTTTGATCATTTCACCGTGTTTTTTGCTTATCGGTTCCATCTTTTTGTTATGAGAGAGGAATGAAAGGACTTCGTGCAGCCCCAATTCTTCTTATGTTTTAGGTAATTGATTTTATTTGTATCCCAAGTGGTGCGAAGCTCATCTTCGCCTCTGCGTGAAAAATATCCTATCTCTGATAATAACTGGAGCATTCTCATTGACTTTGGGAAGATGATTGTGTTTTTGTTTTTATAAACTGACTGGATAAGAAAAACTGGATAAAAAAATCAATGCAGTTTAACATGATGTTTTTCAATTCTATTATTAGAAAAATTAAGCTAAAAAAATTGATTGTCTATCAATACAAATTTTGCACAGTTTTGATTCGATCGAATGAGCCCAAAGTTAGCAGAGTAAACACTTCATACAGCCACTGAGGTAACTTTTTAAAAGTTTTTAATTGTTCGAATCATAACTGTTAGGGCTTTAAAATAGTTTTTTACTATCTATTCTGTGAATGATAATTTTAGCCGTGGAACTCAAGTCGTTTAATGTTGGTAGATGTATCTGTTTTTTCGGGATGCGTTAGTGTGGCACCTCCTAGAGTGGTGTACCTCCTAGAGTGGGGTCCGCAGTAATTGGATCTACCCCGGTGTATCCTGGGGATTTGGTCTGAGCTTTTGTGCTGTCCGGCGGGTGTTTGTACTTCCTATTACCTGCGCGATGTATTGGATCACGTGCTTCCAATATGTCACCGACGGTTCATCAAACGAGGCCATTTCTGCAAACTTCACACGCCGCATTGCCCAGTGCTCAAGACGTAAGTGCGAACCTTGGGGAGCCTTGCTTCGGCAAACGCAAGCCTTTGGGGGCCACTCGACCTTTTTGTATTGCGCTTGCCCTGTCTCGATACGGCCTTGAAAGCCACCAGACTAAGTGTCATTAGTAGTCTCGCAGGTCTTCGGATAGAGACGACTTTTGGTACAAATTTCTGTGTTAGTGGAGACCAGAAACGGGGGACTGTCTTCTATAGAATCCCCTGATGATGAGAAAGCTATTTGTGGAAAATGGGCTTTCCCGAAGTTGCCATGAATGGTAACCGCTACAATGCTTTTAGCACTGTGGATCCTATGATTTAGTCTTAGGAAGGGCTCATACCCGGTGATTTTAAAAAGCTCGGATTCGTAAGGTGGGTAGCTAGGCAACTTGTTACCCTCAAAGAATAGTGCTTCTAGGTGAAACTAACTCTCAGTGATGGTCATTTATGACTATGAGAATACTGAGGACTTGTTGGACCAGTTAACTTCGTAATATTGGGTTTCTTTGGAGCATTGGAATTAAATTATTTGTCCATTTTCTTCTACCAAGGTCAACGCTCTTGTTTTTATTTCAGGAGAAATTTTTAAAAAGTTGTGACGTGACGCTTATTTTCTTTGTCGGAGGTGTGACTCATTATTTCTGTTGAAGATCGTTTTTGGGAATCAATTTTTAAGTGAAAGCAAACTTAGGCTCTTCAAACTTAGACATATTTTGCATAATCATCAGCGGAATTCTTTATGCTTATCAATCTGCCTTTCTCAAATTGTTGTTTTTAATTTAATTATATAGTTTTTTGTTAAATAAAAAAGGTTTTAAAGTTACTTGTTTTGTAATAAATGATGTCTGGGCCGCTTGTGGAACCGAATTGCACTATCGGCTGCTGTTTGTCAACAGTTTGTTGTTTAGAGTTAGAAACAATTCGCCCTCCAAATTTTCATCTATCATTACTCATGATTCTTCATGCTAATGGTAATCTGTTAAATTTACAAACATATGCAAATATTAAAATTTTAGCTACCTTTTTCAAAATCTACTAAGGCTCAATTTTGTCAAAACTTTCATTAGTTTCATGCTCTGTTAAAATAAATGAATTGACGTGTTTCAATGCTAGGCATCTTATTTTAGAAGATGACAATTATATAGCGAAGAGCTACATGTGTATTTTACGAAAAAAGCCTTCAGAATTCATGCATTCAGAGAATAAATCAAACGGTTCTCTCAAACTATGAAAAATATTTTATATCTCCATAT